CGAATTCAGGGTGGCCAGGCTGGGGTGTGCTCCAGGAGAACACTGGAGCAGTTCGGGGCTGGGTATCACTGTGGCCCACCTAAAACCCACCGAGGTGAGAGGTGTTTCACTGGCTTCACCAGGCTCTAGAAAAGCACTGAATTTCCCTCCACTGCACTCAAACACAACGGGATGTTGCAGGAGGAGGTACCAGTGAGGACACTGGGGGACCCACCACGGCGTGGCTGGGCAGCATGTGGCCCCCACCATCGCCTGGTGCTGTCCGAGCCAGAGGTCCCGGCTGTGCTGGGGGGAGCTGGGGAGCGAAGCGGGGTGCCGATGCACGCATGGGGGTCATAGGGCCTGAGCCAGCGTGGCCCCGGCTCACGCCTGGGAGAGGCAGGCAGGGTAGGTGACCATGTTGAAGCTGTCCCAGGCAAAGAGCTGCCGCTCCGCAGGGTTGTAGTCCACCATGCTGAGGTAGCGGAAGCGGTTCTCAAAGGGGATGCTGAGGGCCCGGCTAGTGCTGGTGGCCGTGTCATAGGCGAAGTTGATGGTGGCATTGGGCGCCGAGTAACTGCTGACAGTGTAGAGAGTGCCGCAGATGACAAAGGAGTTGGCCACCCCCCGCTTGCGGATGTTGGTCTCCCAGGTCTGCCGGATCTCCAGCGTCTCAGGGTCCAGTTTGGAGAGGACAATCGCCCCCCTGGCCTTCTCGGTGCTGTAGATCACCCAGAGCCCTGTCTCATCCACCGCCAGGTCGATGTCAGTGTAGCCCCCCCAGGAGTAGGGGTACTGCCCGTGGTAGCCGGCGCCGGGGATCTCCCTCTCGGCCGTAACGGCCTCTCCCCGCAGGTCATAGCGGGCCACGGCGCGGGAGCGGCGGGGCTGGAAGAAGAGCCCGCCACGGTAGACGACAGCCCCCGTGCTCTCCAGAGGCCGCGGCAGGATGTGCACCTTGGCAGGGTAGCCCCGGGCCAGCTGCTCGGCCGCCTCATACTGGAAGAGCTGACGGACCTCCGTGCCCACTGCGTCCACGCGCCAGGTGGTCTCCCGCGTGAAGGGGGGCACGGGCTCAGGGTCCTTCATCCACACGCCATACTTGCCCGCAATGGACTCTGCCCGGCCAAAGACGACGGGCTCCCCCACCCACACCAGCTCGCCACAGCCTGTTCAGGGACAGGAGGGGAGAGAGAAAGGGGTTACGGCGCGGCGGCGGCAGCGCCCGGCGAGCCCCTCGGGGCGGGGACGGGAGACCAAGCAGTATTTGTAAGCAGTGGAGCATGGGGCCGGCTGGCCATGCCAGTGGCAGTACCTG